GAGGCAGCTTGGAGCTGTGCCGGCAGGCTGGGGACAGGAGTGCGCTTGGGAGCGCCGGAAGGGCTCACACGCCTCCCCGGGGCCGGGTCTCTTCCCCTCGGGGCTCGCCAGGCAGAGGGGATCCCCTGAAAGGCGCGCTGCCAGGGCCCCCCCGCCTGCCCTCCGTGAAACCCGGGAAGGTGCAATGCAGGAATCCCTAACAACAACGCGAGAGGGGCTGAGGAGGTTCTCGGGACTGGTGTGTGCTAGAAAGCAAACTCATAGTGCTCAGTTCACAGTGAGTTGTCGTTCTCCTTTGGGCACAGAGAAAGGGGGTGCTTTGGGGTGCATATAGCTTTTTCTTGGTGTATTGATGCCATCAAATGTTCTCTTCTTTTTCAGCAATTAGAGCTAATCACACCCTTTCAGCTGTATTTCAACCCTGAATTAATATTTAAACACTTTCAAGTAAGTGTTTTCAGAAGTGTGGGATGTTTTTAAATAAACTGTTGCGTTTGCAAGTGCTTTTCCTCTCAAAATTGAGCGTCACAAACGGCTGTGACTTTTCATATTGAAGTTGTATTTACAGTGCTGATCACTGTGTCTTAGCATAGGTCTTGGATTCATTGACCGTGGATGTTTCAGTTACGTTGTTGCTCACTTTTGTATTTAGACAATAAAATTAAGCTGTCGTGTTTAAAGTCCTTCTCTTTGTCTTATTTCCAGGTATGGAGGTTAATCACAAACTACTTATTCTTTGGACCAGTTGGCTTTAACTTTTTATTTAACATGATCTTTTTGTATCCTTCATGAAGTTTGTTTTCTTTCCTTGGAAAGCGGAGCTCCAGGTTGCAGGCACGTTGCACACAGGCAAAGGTTCAGTTCTGCCCCCAGCGTGAAGTTCCTGGGAGTTTAGCGATGCCGACTTCACCGATGCCAGGAGTGGACGTCAGCGGGATTTCCTTTATGAGTTGTCAGTCATCTTGCCATTTATTTTTGTGGTGTTGAGATTTCGTTGTACGAGCCTGATCCTTCAGGGTGGTTCTGCACTACGGGAGAAAATTCCAAGTGGCTTTTTTCTTATGGGTCTCCCCTCTCTGCTGAGGCACCCAGAGCCAGTGGATGAAGTAAATTGATTCAAAACTTAACATCTAAGCTTCTGTATAATTCTCTTCCTCTCGGGTCTTTCTTCAAACTCATTTGTAATCAAATTTTCCTGACCTGCGACTTCAGATATCGTTACTGCCGAATGCTTGAAGAAGGCTCTTTCCGAGGTCGGACAGCAGATTTTGTATTTATGTTCCTTTTTGGAGGATTTTTAATGACTGTATCCTTTTTTTTTTTTTTATTTGGAATTCCCCACTGCTTTAGTGAAGCTGAAGAAATGTGAATGAGAGCTGAAACCACGATGGTACATGTGGCTGATTTCGTAGGTGATGGTACATCTGTCTGTGGTACGAGGAATAACAGACACTATCTGTTAAAGTGGACTGGAATACTTTGTGACTGGCGGTTACACACTGGGCTGGGCTTTCAGGCTTTTTACTGCTTGACAGGGCTATGGGAATGAGGTTGTCAGATAAAAGGGGACTGCTCAGGTGTGTAGTCGTGCTCAGGCTGAGAAATGCTGTTGCTTCAGGGATTTCATGCTAAATTATACTTTAAAGGGATTATTCCTGCTTGCAGGGACCCTGCATCCTGCTGCAGGTGTTGAATTCGATCCACAGAAGGTTTGATTTACTTGAACCTGAGAAAGCAGGGATGGGAATTGTATGGAAGATGTAGGATTATAGGTCACGATGGAGAATTCTTCTGACGCTTGAACCTACAACAATTATTTGGTGAACTGTTTTCTTTAACTGCCTATCACAGCTTTTTGGGCTCTTTGTGAACTTGGTTTTCTTGGGCCAGGCGTTCACCATAATGCTGGTGTATGTATGGAGCCGCAGGAATCCCTATGTCCGTATGAACTTCTTCGGTCTTCTCATCTTTCAAGCCCCGTTTCTACCCTGGGTATTGATGGGCTTTTCGCTGCTTTTAGGGAACTCCATCATTGTGGATCTCCTGGGTAAGGAATGGCAAGAATCACAAGGATTTGTTCCTGCTGGTGTTTTACATGAGACAAAAAGTGGAAGAAACAAAGGGCTAAATGCTGCCTACTTGGGATTAGTTAGTCTGGTGTCATGGTGCTGGATTTATACCAGGCTTTTCATGATTTCTAAACGCTGTAGTGCATTTGTACTGTAACGAGGATGGAAAGAGCTTCTGATGCTTTGGCTTTTTGTTGCTTGGACTCAGCCCAGGTATGTAACCTGGTTGTGGGCATCAGTCTTTTGAAGTCAAATAACTTTTATTACTCTTTTGCTCAGCTCCTAATAAAGCCGTAACATCAGTGTGTTTAACAGTGACAAGCAGTTTTCCCTGTATTAGTGTCTTGTAGTGTAACTTACGCTTTTCATCTGGTGTCAGTGTGCTTCATTGATTCTTTCTCAGAAAATACCATAAGGGAGACAGGAATACAAAAAATGACATTTGGTACTTGTTGGGTTTTTTTTCCCTGAAAACTCTAGTGATGTATTTGAAAGTTGTGAAGAAGTATTGAAAATCACCATGTGATGTTTCTTTATGTACTAGGCATTGCCGTTGGACATATATATTTTTTCTTAGAGGATGTCTTTCCCAATCAACCTGGTGGTGGAAGGCTTCTGAGAACACCGTCTGTCCTGTACGTATTGGTGTCTGGTCTGGAATGGAGGTGGGAGTGTTAGCATGGAAAACTGCTTGACTCAGTTATATCAACTTCTGGTAGATGGGACAACTTGAGACAGGATTGTGGTGTGTCTGTACTTACTCTTTTATTTAACTCTTATGTTACCAAACTATGGGGGGGGGGGTGTCTTATGGATGTGTAAGTGGGAACTAACGCCTTGTGGAGAAGGGCTAAAGGGGTTTTGTATCCCCTGATTTCTTTGGTAGCGCTTTTTAGTCTTTGCTAACCGAGTTTTGCCTGTTGGTGGCACCAAAGATGCATGTCTCTGTCGAGGGGTGAGGGATGGAAGTCAGTCCTGTACTGCTGAGTGGTGCTACTCTTGCTCGGGTCGCTCTTGCGTGGAGGGCTGTAATCTGTACAGCAGCTTGCCTGAATGATAGGGCACTTGGGACACTGAAAGTTGAGCTCTGCAAGACTCAGAATTACTAAGAGCTGAACTGATTCTCCTCTTTCTGTCTGCACTAGCCTCCAGAAGCCTGACCAATTAACACCTCAGACCCATGTGTAGTTTAACTGATGGGCCGTTCCTGTCTGATTGGACAGGTACACTCACGCTGATAGTTTATTTCTGTTCAGCATAGGCTTTGTCTTGAGCAGGTACCAGGGGGTGACTGCAGGCATGGCTGTCTCAGGGCAGCTGTGCTGGGCACTTCTGTAGGCCCACACTGATCTAACTTGGCCTTTGCAGCTAAAGGCTGTTTCTGGCGATGGCTGCCCTCACATAAATGCAGCTCCAGACAAATCGTGTGTCGAATTACACATGTGCAATAAGGGTGTATTTGAGACTTCCTGTATTCACAGAGGGTTTAAGCACCCAGCTGTGTGCAGGAGGAATCCTAAGGCTGTTGGGAGCAGTGTATGCTGTCTCTAACTCTCTTCCTCTGAAAAAAGTGTCAGCCTGTCTTCAGGCTGCCATCTAAATCCTTCTGTGTGTCTGTGTTCAGAAGGCTGTTTCTGATTCTTGTCTGGATCTAGAATTGGGGATTTTTTTTTCCCCTAAATGCTCACGTTTTCTTTGATGTCTTACCTGTAATCCTGTGATATCCCTGGTATTTTCTTTTTTCCTGCTCTGAAAACTTCTCTGAAATGGCCTGTCACTCTGAGTGAAGTAATCCCTTTAGCTGTTCTAAGAACTGCCTTGTTAAGCACGCTTTACGTTTAGGGTGTTCTGGTTATAATGATTGCTTGTATGCAGCAAGCAATGTATGCAGTAGATTCTCTGAAACTTTGTTTTCTACTACACTTTGGTTTCTGGATGAACAAACCTACAGAGAGAGAACCTCTAAAACTAGTTTTGAGAGTGGCAAAATAATCTATGAGATTAAGCATGACTTTTGTAATAAATAGTCTCCCAGCCTCTGATGTTGTCCCAAATTCTGTGGATTTCAGGTCTGCCTGTCGACGCCTGCATCCTGCCTGTGAGACTGAGATAACGCTGCCTCTATTTACTCTTACTTTGTCCTCTTCTCAAGATGTCAAGAGCTCTTCATGTTTTGCTCCCTTCTCCCGTCCTGGGAGAACATGCTAGCTGTACGAATTTCTGCCATACGCTGGCGATGGAATTTTAGCTTTCAGCTGAATCTCATCAGTCTTGGTGGATTTAGGCACATAGTTCTGGACCTGCTTCCAGATGGCTTCTACTTGGAGAGCAAGTGTGACTTGGATACAAATCACCAGTGCTTTGGCAGGCTGTTCCTGAGGCAGGATGCTGTACACGCTCAGAATTTGAGCACTCTTAGTCTTCCTGCGAAACACGCATTCTAAGGGAAAATAAAACTATTTTCTGTTTTCCAGGAAAGCAATATTTGATACACCGGAAGATGATCCGAATTACAATCCCTTGCCAGAAGAACGACCAGGAGGATTTGCATGGGGAGAAGGTCAGCGCCTCGGAGGCTAATAAGTGTCTGTGCCAAAACCCAGCGACAGCTGGGACGGACTGACCTGAGTGAAGTTCCATGCTGCGGACTCTCCTTCGCCTTTTGACAGCTCTCTGGTTTTGAATACAAGCACTTTATGAAATGACAGTCTAATCCAAGACACTTCCAGGCTACCAGTGTCTTTCCCAGTCAGGGACTTTATTGTGCTGGTAACAAAAATACTAATCCAGTGGAGCCAAAAACCTGAAACTGGAAACCATTTCCTGCCAACTTCAGTTAACAAGACCACGATCACTTGTTTGAAGCAATTTCTAAGGCATTTTTTTCAAGTTATTTGATACAGGAAACTATATGGGGAAACTTTATGTGGGACAAAACCAACTTTTTAGGTTTTAACTCATTTTTTTATTCTTGGATAAAACAATATGATTGAAAGTGTAACTCCTGATTTCAGTGGCAAAAGGGTTTTTATCTGAGGTGCTGTTGTCTCCAGTCGGGTTTTGAATTGTAAAAAGAACAACATGCGGCATGATGCAAGCATTCCATTTTGCCAGTTGGGTTTCTGGAACGTGCCTCTGTGTGAATACACTTGCAGCCGGAGACTACATTTTGATGGCTTTTCCCCCCGAAGACGGAGTGTTCAGATGGCCAGGTTTGAGTCTTGCTGGTTTGTTTAACTCGGTAGTTGTACAAAACCCACCCCCACGCACACTTGTAACAGCATCACGGAATGTTATGAGTTGGAAGGGACCTTAAAGAGCATCCAGTTCCACTCCCCTGCCGTGGGCAGGGACACCCCCCTCTTGAAGGTGTAACAGTTATTGAATGACTTGTAACACTAGGGAAGAAAACTCGTCTGGAGTCAGAACTGCTCGAATATCTCAGACAATGAGTTGAATAAAATGTCTTGTGGATCCTTTTTTGTTAATCTTCTGCACAATCCTCTAGTTGTGAGGCAGTTGGTGAAAAGGCAGAATGGGAAAAAGCCAGGCCCTGGAGAGAGCGTTAATGCAGGCTTTTCTCACAAGTGCCCCTCAAAGCTGCCAGGGAACAGGATTGTCTGCTCAGGGTGTTAGATTATGGTTTCTGCATGAGTGTCCAGCACACTAAGTGGGGTTAACTTGAAGTTCTGTGGATTGGAAATACCTGTATGAGGAGCCACTAAAGGAATTCAGAGCGCAGCGCCGCTCGTCATGTCCAGTCGCACCTTAGACACTGGACTCACTGGGTAGCTGTCTTGATTATATCGTAATTGATGAAGAGGCATTGTTGAAACTGCATCTTCCCCCTGAATTTGGGAGTATAGGCTCCCCCTTGACACTCATGTGATCATCTTGTTTAGTCTCAGATTTTGCAGTTCTTAAACACTGGCTGCAGGTTTTTAACTTGTTTGTGGTCCAGGAGATCTCGTGTGTTGGGATCTCATGGGGAAATGCTTGGTCTACAAGCAGTGTGTTAGATCCTGATACACAATATCTGCATTTTGTCTGTTTAAGGTTATAAAAACTTGAGGGAGATTTTTTTTATCTTGCCCTCCAGGAGTACTAAAAATGTTTTGAGCTTCAGGGCAGCTTACGAGACAGGAACTGGATCAAAACCTTTGGTTTAGCTCAGTCTGTAAGAGCCTTTTAGTTTGCTGGAGCAGAGTTAGGGAGTGGGGGTGAAGCAAAAAGACAGCCCTATGGCTGGCATGAAACCTTCTGTCGAGGCAAAGCCCGGTGAGGTGGGCGAAGTGATGTGCCCCTTCCTGAGGATGACCTCCCGTTCTAAGTCACCTGTTGATAAGACAGATTGTCCAGCCTTGCTCTTCCCAAGCAGATTCCTTCACGCGCTTCCTTCCACTCTGGTGGAGTCACTAAGGTTGTACCCTTCACTGAGCAATGCCATCGTATCTGTGTCTGGGAAGAACTTTTGTAGAATCAGACTGGTTTGGGTGGGAAGGGACCTTAAAGCCCATCCAGTCCTACCCCCTGCCGTGGGCAGGGACACCTTCCACTAGACCAGGTTGCTCCAAGCCTCATCCAGCCTGGCCTTGGACACTTCCAGGGATGGGGCATCCACAGCTGCTCTGGGCAACCTGTTCCAGTGCCTCCCCACCCTCTGCGGGAAGAACTTCTTCCTGATATCTCATCTAAACCTCCCCACTTTCAATTTAAACCCGTTCCCCCTTGTCCTGTCACTACAGGCCCGAGTAAAAAGACCAGCCTGGCTTTCTTGCAGAAGTGTTGCTTTCTTTCAGGAAGTGTTGCTTCCTTGTACCCCAGGCCAAACCCGACTGTTGCTGGCAGATCGCTGCCTGGCCCGGTCTCCAGCTGCCCTGGAAGCCATCCTGGGGCAGCCTGCCCCGCGGG